GAATGACTGAGAAATGATACAAAGGGAGCTGGAAAGGTTAGGAACATGGACAGGAAATCAAATGATTCAGCCTGGAGTAATGCAAGCCAATATGACATCTGGGGCCAAATAAGAAGAAATACAGATACGCCATGAAAGAGATAAACATGGAAAATATTCATCTCAAAGGAGGTTGAGGGGTACTAGAAGGAAATAAGAGAGGTAGGAAGCAGGAACTAATGGTTTTGGCATGTCTACCATGTGCCCACTAGTATGATTTGGTACTTCTTGTGTTGATTTCTTTTTGACCAAGATTAAGCAGTTCAGAGTTTTTGAGGATTAATTATGCACAAGAGCTTGGTATTTCACGAAACAAAAGCTCGGCTTCCTTCTAGTTGATCTGAATGATTGTTAGAATGTTATCAGTGCATCTCTATACTGTGGATGTGGCCTGGAAGCTCCAGAAAGGCTCTAGTGGTAAAGATCATTTGCCATATTCCCACATAGCATTTCTCATTCTGTGGGTGTTTCCGAGCATTCTTGGAGCAGCTTCCTCCAGGCTATCCCAGGAGCACAATGGGGGCCCCACAAAACCTTTGGTGAGCTAGCACAGGAGTCCTGCTTAAGCCAAGACGTGTGTCCCATAATGGCTGCCCCACACGGTGGTCCATTCCTTCCCTCCATGCCCCTCTCCCTCTCTCTTCCAGCACCCTGTAGTAACACGGAGCTTTCATCCTAGCCCTTTGCTTGGGTTTCCTACTATCCCTTATCTTTCTCTCTTGCTGTAAAAGTCTAGTAATCATTTGTATTTCCTCTGGATGTCAATAAACTAAATCAGATTTTTATTGGTCTAATTTAGGAATCGCCAACATTTTTTTAATGGAGTCACTCAATTTTTCAGTTATAAGAACTTGAGGAACTGGGTCATAGTGAGGACCTCATGGGGATGAGGAGGAAAGGACCACGTTCTTCTAGGAAGGACAATCCCTAAGCAGGTGATGTGGACTGGACCCATTCCCCATCCTGAGAAGACCAGAACACCAGCGCAAAGAGTGTGTCGAAGCAGTGAGCTGGAAAGGAGAAATGTCAAAGACATATTGCTTGCAGTTCCAGTTCTAGCATGTAAGATATGTTAATGGCTCAGACTGGAAGCTGAATGTGTTACCTTTCCCCAATATTTGCCTTGTAATGGGAGCCCCTTGTGCCTAAAAAATTTATTCATTTATTCAGCAAGTATTTACTGGGTGCATCCTACATTCCAGGCACTGTTCTTGTTACTAAAGATACATCAGAGAACAAAACATAGATCCCTGCCCTGTGGTACTTACATTCTGGTGGTGGTGGTGGTGGGGGGAACAATTAATAATGAACCAATGAATAAGCAGAAATATAGTAGAAAATGATAAGAGTTACAGGACAAAAAGTAAAGCAGGATAATGGGACTAATCGTGCTAGGGTTGGGGGCAAGTGATAATATTAAATATGGCAGGATAGGCTTCATAA